CGGGGGTGCTGGGCTTGGGAAAACGGGGACCCCTCGTCTGCGGGGACCCCAGAGGAGACGCTTGGGGGGATGGTCCTGCCCTGGATGGTCTCAGAGCCCCCTCCAGCCCTGACAACCCCCCAACTCTGAGTCCGGGGGGCAGGGGGTGGCAGCGGAAGGGGCCCCCATCACCATCCTCACCCTGCCCTGGGGGGGAATAACCCCCTGGACCAGGACATCGGGGGGGACCTGCTGGAGAGCAGCTCTGGGGAGAAAGACCTGGGGGTCCTGGGGGGCAACAGGATGCCCATGAGCCAGCAATGGGCCCTGGTGGCCAAGGAGGCCAATGGAGTCCTGGGGGGCATCAGGAAGAGCGTGGAGAACCTGGAGGGAGGTCATCCTGCCCCTCTGCTCTGCCCTGGGGAGGCCCCAGCTGGAGCACTGGGACCAGTTCTGGGCTCCCCAGTTCCAGAAGGACAGGGAACTGCTGGAGAGGGGACAGCAGAGGCTGCGAGGATGATGAGGGACTGGAGCATCTCTCTGATGAGGAAAGGCTGAGGGACCTGGGGCTGGTCAGTCTGGAGAAGAGAAGGCTGAGGGGGGATCTGATCAACACCTCTAAATCCTTCAAGGGTGGGTGTCAGGAGGATGGGGCCAGGCTTTTTTCAGTGGTGCCCAGGGACAGGACAAGAGGAAATGGGCACAAACTGGGACATAAGAAGTTCCACCTAAACATGAGGAGGAACTTCTTTATTGTGAGGGTGGCAGAGCCCTGGCAGAGGCTGCCCAGGGAGGTGGTGGAGTCTCCTTCTCTGGAGACGTTCAAACCCCCCCAGATGGGACACTTTGGGACCTGCTCTGGGTGACCCTGCTCTGGCAGGGGGTGGGACTGGGGGGTCTCCAGAGGTCCCCGCCAACCCCATGTCATTCTGTGATCCTCCTCCTCTTCCTCCTCCTCTTCCTCCATCCTCCTCTTCTTCCTCCTCCCCCCGGGGGTGTCTGGCAGGTGCCACTGGAGGACGAGTCAGTGGACGTGGGGGTCTTCTGCCTGGCGCTGATGGGCACCAACCTGCAGGAGATCCTGGAGGAGGCCAACCGCGTGCTGAAGCCGGGGTAGGCAGGGTCGGGGGGCAGCGGGGGGCACG